GGTTGCACGGGCTAGTGACGCAGATTAGCGACAAGCGTGGGAACACCATACGTACACGGAAAAGTTATGATTTTGAAACGTGATAACCCGGATTTCTTCTCCCAAAAATGAGTACGCGGTCCAGAGTACTTTAGTCCTTGAACACAACATATCGTTGGGACTGGAATTCGCAACTTACTGGACAATATTCTCAATACTCAGTCAATGAGCTACGGGATGGTAATGCTACAGGACAGGCCGATTTGCAGGAATATTATTCGGTTGTTGGTCTGTTCGCCGAGCTTGGCAGTTGGATTGCAAACGTTTCATCACCAAACGAGGTGACATCTTCAGTGCAGGGTTGAGTGACGATGTCACCTCGATTGGTGATGAAACGTTTGCAATCCAACTGCCAAGCTCGGCGAACAGACCAACAACCGAATAATATTCCTGCAAATCGGCCTGTCCTGTAGCATTACCATCCCGTAGCTCATTGACTGAGTATTGAGAATATTGTCCAGTAAGTTGCGAATTCCAGTCCCAACGATATGTTGTGTTCAAGGACTAAAGTACTCTGGACCGCGTACTCATTTTTGGGAGAAGAAATCCGGGTTATCACGTTTCAAAATCATAACTTTTCCGTGTACGTATGGTGTTCCCACGCTTGTCGCTAATCTGCGTCACTAGCCCGTGCAACCAGGTGAATACGACCAAACAACACAACTACACGCGTCATTCGCCGTGCGAGAAGACTGGCTTTAATTTCATAAACGAGAAGGTCTGTGTGTGTTTATTTGTGTTATGTGTGTGTTCATGTATTATTTGTTCTAAAAGGAGCACTGCGAGTGAGAGCTCTTTCCTGATGCTATTTTTGTGTAAGTATACAGATGTCTACTGCCTATTCGCCCAATATATTTAGTTTATTTATTTATTTATTATTTATTTATTTATTTATTTATTTATCTGGTTAGTTAGCTAGTGACTTAGTTGTTTACTTACGTATTCACTTGCTCAGTTGGCTGGCTGATTAGTTGCTCAGCCGCTTAGTTAAATTGTAGGTTAGTTGGTTATAGGCACACATACTACATTCTACACTGTGCCCAGGCTTCTATGCGCACATTTCCCAACCTCTTTAGAAGGAGTAATATTCGATCACTGCATGGTACAACCAAGATAATTAATGAAAGCCCTAAGAAGGTTTCAGGCGTCCATAAAACCAATACTTGGTCTCAGGCTGATTTCAAGGAAAGCCATTTTGGCTTCCCTTGATCTCCTTAGTTTGGGTCTCGTCCAAATTCCCTAGGAACATTGTGGGTAATTTCAACTCTGGTGTCAAATACTGCCTGTGAATACACATTCCCGGTCATTTGTTCTCACGACCAGAAGCTGTCAAAGCTCTATGAAAAAACCCGCATACTTCAGTGGAAAAAACTTTCGGCTTCCACTTTCGGTACCGATATGCATCCGAAAAACTATGTGGACGGATTAAATTTTACTACTTTAGGGTCCAAACGGCGGTTGAAATTTTACCCTTTTGATCACAAAATGTAGACTGATCTAGCCATGTAGGAATCTGTTATGACAGCATCCTCATCTCCTGTCAACCTAAGTGGCACCAGAAATCCGCCCATAGGAATTTCCCCATTTTTTCGTTGCCATCTGACTTTTGACACCTAGAACAAATTTTATGGTCTTTCCGCTGCACAAGCACTCCCATTTTATTGAATCGCGGAGGTATGAGAGTATTGAGCAAACTTTATGTTTTTACATGCACAAACACCAGTCAGTATGACAAGTGTGGTGTGATGCCCTGATACAGGGTGATCATGATTTCAGCACCCATTCATAGCCGCAAGCACGCATGTGACTCATGATTTGATATGGTTGTGTGCTATTCACTAAGACAGGCACTTCGGCTGTTACCACTGCTATGCACATGAACGTAATTCATGTTCCTACAAGGTTAGAGCATTCGGTTGGTTCAGTCATTTTACGAATGCATTTATAGCTGGTTGCCAGTTGGTGACATCAGACAACTTGCATTGTGGGAAATTAGACGGTTATTTTCTCAGAAGTAGACCAATTTTTCGACTTTAGAGAGTAATCTTAGAGAGGACCAAAAATAGTAATTACCAAAACGGACAACGGCCACTAGTACAATTTCACGTGGTTTGTGAATGGTAGGGGTCCAATCTTCTGAGTTGTGTGCGCGTGATGTTTGACGGATCTTAATTGTCGACTTTTATGCTGAGTTATCGGCTTGACCTGCTTTTTGAGGGAAAGAAGACCCAAACGAGCGGTAAACACTTATGTATTATCGGACCGGCTAAAGCTAGAGAGGTCATGTAGATGACTACGAATGCAACATAACAATTTTATGTATACATACCGACATCTCCTGGTCAGATGTTAACGCTATCAAATTTGAACCGGCTGGCCTCAGCTGGTGCATATATCGTGCCGTTGTAAAATGACATCTAATTGCTGCTGTAGTGTCATTTATGTTGCGTGAATTCTAAGACTGGATAACATTCGACGGACATTTTTGTGTCTAGTGCAAGCTTCTATATGTTCAGCTCTTCAGCTTATTCCTTCACCTGAATTTGGAGATCGTAAGTTGGGTTCAGACCAGTGTGTCTGAGGATGCTACTGATGAGACGTAAATCCACTTCGCGTCTCTTGAAACTTGAGATCCTTTACGGAATTTGTGGAGTCGCTTTGTATCAATTGCTTGCATTTGAGTAACTGTCTATGAATATCCAGGAAAGTTCATGAAGACTTGTTCAAGGAGAAGATGGATATTCAGTGTTGTAAACAAGATGCATATGCTACCCTGTCCTATAGTTTGTAACAATTCAACTGGTCCAGTAAATAACTCCGCAGAGAAGGCCTTCCTCCTTTCACCGGTAGATGATAGCTGTTGATATCTCTTAGTACCAATAAAGGGTTCCGCATGCAACTTTGTCAGGATATCAGAAGGGATAGGAAGGTGTGGAAATAGAAGTGATCATAAAGGCACATTTCTGGAAGGATTCGAAGCGCTAAAGTATGGCTGTTCAGTTGTGAACTTGAAGTTATTAGGTGTGATGGGCAATGGATGTCGTGGTTAACTTGCTGTATGTCAGAGGTTGCGGTATTGGTCTGTTTCCAGAATTGTCTTTTCGTTCTTGTTACCGGAACTTGGACTATTCATATGAGGATCTAGCAAGTGTTCTCTTACTTTCTGGCTGTCCGGTTAGATTACTGATAGACTTAAGCGCACAGTAATAACAAATTACAGTGGGGAGTTATGGAATGGAGAAAATGAAAATCGACCTGGGTCAGAATTTTAATTTAAGCGTTGTGTTGCTCTAGCCAATAGGTAGCGTGCAGTCAATCAACTAGTCACCTCCTAAAGAACGCGAAAATTAATCGGGTGACGCTACAACTCCTCGGGTTGACTTGGAGCCCAGGTGGTACTAGCGGTAAAAGCTAGCGCCTGAACAGTTTATTTAGCAAGCTAATCTATATCTTGCATGCTTCCTGAGAACCACCATCGGTTGCCGTTCCACTAGTCCCTAGGAAGATTCACTGTTCCCCACTGCTCCCCATCAGCACATTTCATATCGGTAATCTGAAACTGACTTTAATGGCAACTTCTCAAACGCGAGGCAAGCGGTGAATCACTGGGGAGAGTTGAACCTGATGATCCCAAATAGTATCTAGAATTTTGCAAGATTTCTGACATGAACACTCTTCATAATCCCCGAAGAGGATAAAGCAGTGACTTTTCACCATGAAACAAATTCATTTATAATGAAATGAGGATGTCAGCTTCTTGCTACCAGTAAATATTCATTGCTTATTCATATTACATGAAACCACCACTTCCCCCGTAGCGGTTCCTTTCGCCGTTACTTCCAGAGTAAAGCAAAATTTTTCTGAACATAATTGGGAGTCACTGGGACTGGGTTTGGGTCTATATTTGTTGGTGAATGTGTTATTCAAGGTGCCATTTATTGAGCCAGCTAGTGGTTCAAAGTCCCAGTCAACTTAAATGTTTCTGTTGCATTCAAATGCAGCATTCATATACAGGTGTCATATAACATTCAGCTTGTGCAAAAAACATGAACTGAATTTATATCCCAAGTTCGTAGCCAAGAGTAGACTGTACTGACTGCAATGGCCTATTCGACAATGAAAGGTCACTGATTGTAAAGTTACATTCTGAAATAAAAATGAAGTTTTATGACGCACACAAAGTGCTAGCTTATCTGTTGTGCTGTACCCATTCTGAGTACACATGGCGTATGCGGCCGTGCGATCCATCATAGGACTGTTTCATCAGTCTATCACTTGAAGCGATGCAACGGCAAACAGACATGTTTCTACTGATCATTCGCACGGAATAGCATAAAAGATATTACACTAGATGTCACCCAGTAGATCACGCATCACGAACACCCGAATCCCGTAGCCATTTCTCTCTCAGTTGCCGACAACTTGCACAGTACAACTTCCCATCCATTTTTGTCTACGTTGCTACCACCTGCTTCACGCACCAGGCCTACGAGCTTAAAGACATCAGGTCAACTTGGATTCATGTTCGTGCACGTATCAAACACGAAGGGACACCCCTCTCTTCACACTGCACATAATAAATAGGCGTGCAATTCGGTCCAAACGAAAACACACGCGCGCACAGGACAGGGAGTCACCTGAGCTCCACAAATCTCTATGGACAACTGTGGAACACGTTCATCACCTACACTGCAGAGAAGACACGTCCAGCGGTCGGAACCTCACTCACGGACTCTCAAAGGATAAGTCACTTTTTGGCTTATTCGATTCTTGCATTGAACTTATTGTTATCAGGTACACATAACTTTTGTAATCATCATTCTGGTAAAACAGACATTTGCTAGTGCTTGTCACCTTCTGATAATAAACCTAATTATATCAGCGCCAGATGACTAACAGGCTTTACCCAGTCTGAGCGCACATGGCGTATGAGGTCCTTCATGTAACTGTTTTATCGGTCTGTCACTTGAAACAAAGCAACGGCAAACGGCCACCTTTCTACTGATTATTCGCCTGGAATAGCATGAAAAATATCACAAAAGTAGTAATAATACCACAATACTTTATCTTAGTCGAACAATCGCCACCACATTACAGCTTTAAAGTGATTACTGGTTGTCACCCAAAGGACTGGAAGTCGTATCCGGTGCCTTCATCAACAGACCTCTAAATTCAAGCCAAGTGTTACCAACCAACTTGGATGTCCTGTTCAAACACCTTTTGCCGACCTTACCGAGAAGTCTATCGAGCTCAACTTTCAAGTATGATGTTGGACGTCGTTCATCTACCCGATATTCGTTTTTGCAACCCTTGTGTATGACGTTCGGAAACGCATCCTCAAGTGACAAGATGATTTGACCGAAAGGACTAGACTAAGAGGGAGGAAGTGCTTACCACATCTTTTGCCTCACAAATCTGGTAATGGAAGCCACTTACTGCTACAACTGATCAACTCCAGAAGGTTCAGCACCAATGTTTTGCTTCTTTCATTAACTATGCTTTGAGCGGATACTGGTCTTCCGAAAGACGCCCGAAAATCGCCGTTGTATTCATCAATGTACAGTAACCCCCCAGCAGCGGTTTTACAAACTGACATATTTTTAGACTTCGGTGTTTTTAGTTCAAGCAGATTCGAATGTCTGTCTATGGCATTTAATGGTGGCCAATGGCATAGCGGGAAAAAATGGATAAGCTAGGTTTTAAGGAATACCGGGTCTCTTCTCATACCTTGGCTCACTGATGAATCTGGAAAGTACCACAACACTGACCTGTCGGTCTGTATCTTCCATCTTTTTTGACATTGCAAGCGATCGCATCTCAGTTTTGGATTCGTTTGTTACGCCTCCAGAAGTCTCCACATCACTTGTAATCTCGGTTGTTGACACTTTCAGTTGTCCCGATGGAAAGGTTATTTCGCTCGTATCAAGAGGACCACGGCTTTGAATATACTCAGCCTCACACAGGATTCTTTGAGTAACCCCATTCTTATCTCTCGGTAAATCAACGTTAGGTTGTGTAGAGAGACCTTCTTGAATCTCGTTCTTTAACTTTCTGGTCATCAAGTGACTTCCGATGTCCTGTGAAGCTTCGGTTAGGACAGGTTCGCTTTTGCTGTATGATGAAGTGATTCCTAATTTATCTTCACTGCGTGTTTCCGCAACATCGTTCTGGCTGCAACCAATGTTTACGTATTGAGGGATTTCACAATGTATATTAGATAATCCCTCTACGTAGTGGTTCGTCTCCTTTGGTCTTCTTATTTTAAATGTGGGGACTTGCAGCCTGATTGAACTTATTGCCTTCGCTTTGTTAGTATCCTGGAGTTCTTGAGTGACAGTTGAAGACTCAACAACTTCATCACCCTCCGATACTCCTGACCACCCCACAGCTTCTGAATCTTGTGATACAGACGTCTCGTCAGAGGATTGTTCTTTTTGTTCAAAATCCTCCTTCAGAGCTTGCTCAAACGTTTGCGCCCGGCCAGGCAAGTCGACTACTGAATATTGTTGGTCCCGCCCAAGCACGAAAAATGTAGTCAGCTCTCCTTTTCCCTAAAACAGAAAAAAACAATGCACTGACAAAGTCTGTTACTTGACCTTTTCCTCCATGTAGGTGCTAACACAATAAATTGGAATTTAGCTTGAAATTTAGTCAGCTTACTTAGCATGTTAGTAAATTTTTTTGGAAGCCGTTCAACTAATTGACAACTTGACGCCCGATGAGCAGCTCCTCGACTACACCCCATGGAGCATGCCGAATTCTCGGCATACTGTGGTCACCACTGACTAAACTTGGGAACCACAACTTGTTTAAGCTATCACCAGGTGAAGTCGCGGCGCCAAAAGTAACGGATGTTGGACAAGACACTTTTTACTGAGTTATGTAGCGAACTGACGGGACTTCTATCAATTTCATTCAAAGTGGTAATGTCTGCTTTCATTTCAACTCAGTTCTAGACGCCTATGTGTCGGGTCGCCATTGAATTTTGCCCTGACTTTCAGTTTTCATAAAAACTGGTCAAGAATCCCGGCAAAATATTCATATTTGGCACTAACGGTTTGCTGCGAACACACCATTGACTACATCACTCTACTTGTCGCCACCCGATCACCATAGTTTTCGAGTTTTTTTCATATCCTGCAACGTAATTTTCAGTAATTTAAAATGTTCTGCCCCATTGCAGTTTGATTATCTGTGTATTCCATTTAAATAAAGCGATACTATGAAGTATGATGATGCTTCAATTCAGGCTTTCTATACAGAGATGCTCTTGACCCAAAAGCTATTGTTTGCAGTAAGACAAATATCATTTTTCGGCGTTTGAAAGGGTCAGGGGTTCTCCGCCAGATGCTAACTTAACTGTGTTGTAGGTTCTTTTGATCCTTTCACTTAGACGCTACCTATGAAGTAATACAATATTGGCATTTTTGAAGATGACTGATAAACATGGAAGCTGAAGTACTTTATCGATGGACCGTCTAGTGTCGCTCAGTATGCTACTGTAAGGTATGAGAGTGCAGTCAACCACGCGAAATAAAGTAGCGCTTTACGCAAGAGGATGCTAGCGTACAGCAAGGGACATCGCAAACGATCCATCAGTCGTTGAACAACAACTGACCTACAAGTTGAACCGATGCAGATTCTAGCGTCCCCATTTTTGTATGCGAGGGTTTTTGTTAAACAGCTGATGGTTATTTTTTTAACTGCTATCTCCTTTGAAGCTTAGAGTGTCTGTTTGTCCACAGCATAATGCTCCCTGATCTGTGATCCTGTCGGAGTTTTGCAACAGGAGAATAATGAGGAACTGTGAAGGAAAATGATGTGGGTATACGGCTAAGAGCCGGTACCCCTCTAGAGAGTCGCTTCCAAGGAAGTGTTTTTCTCCATTACCGGAGATCTCCCACCTTCAGGTAAGCACAATGCTATCCTGAAAGTGCTTTCTTCAATGGCATTCAAACTTCGTAAAACGAAAATACCTCCAGTTCGGAGTAGCAATACCAAAAATACCGCGAGATAGCGACCCATTCTCTAGTCTGGTCAGAAATGTCCTAAAGGAAGCTGCTTCGTTCTTCTCTCTGACATTCGATTTCAATAAATCTCCCAATAAGGGGTATTCAGTATCATCTCGCCAGAGAAGCAGTATCATGAATTCATCAAAATATTTTTAATGTTTCGCAATTTAACGTGGAAACCAAAACGAGCACTTTATTGACATGTCTTTGTTCTTTGTGACTCCAATTTACGTTTGCCCCGGCCCAGCTGTACTTTCATAAGTTGACCGAAATCTTCTTGACAGCACAAGACTGGATCGCTCTTCGAGGGGTTATTCAGGAAGGCTCAGTTCCAGACTTTCTGTCTAGCAGTTTTTACTTTGAAAGTAGTGCGAAAATGCCCTGCTGTCGATTGGCAGACGTGGATACTCTGCACTTTTCTCCAAAACAGTGAAATTCGGCTGTATTCTTACCTTGATGACAATGGGGCCACGTTCTTCCAGCATGTACGGATAGGGAGCCAAAGCCTCGGCAAAGGAAGCACTGACGTGGATTTTATCTGGCTGGAAGAAAAATCAAGTTTAACTGGAATAACCACTTGAACGCAAATGGGTTCTACACGGATTTTCAGAAAACCTTCAGCGGAACGGTAGCTTCATACCTTTCAATCAGTGTGCCAAAATCTATGGCACGAAACAATACCCACTACAGCTCAGCAAGTAAATTAAACATCAGAAAACATCTGTAGGAGAGCCTGAATTACAATACTATAGGATAGATGCACGTTGTAATTGAGGTAATTCTTCCTAAATGGGATGAAAGAAAGTTGCGAATATATTTACCTACTAAATATTCTCTAGTAGTCACGTATCCGAGAGAAGAGGCCTGAATTCGGTTCAGTCTCCAAAGGAAACGGCGCACTAGTACCTAGAAATTCCGGCCTCTGCACAGTCTAGCCGCCGGAAGAAAAGTGCAAACGTTTGCGGAAATTATAGTTGACCTCAACAAAAAGCTACTGGTTTTGAGTAGTTTTGGAGAATGACAGAAAATGTATGTATTCTTCTGACCAGCGCTAAAAATTCAGGAAAAGTGTCCGAACATCGAATTTACGGTCTTTCTTAAAAATCCCACAAGTACTGGTAATATTACATGTTAGATCTAACTTGACCTTATGATAATTCCCCCATTCGTTTGCTTACTCCGCCTATGTACTTTTGGTCTCCAGTTGCTTCGCTCATTCGTACTCGCCGCCCACCTTGCCGCAGAGGCCGTCCTTTCAGACGCCTGTGTATTGACATGTGTGTCTGTGTGTGAATGTGCGCTGCCGACCTACTTACCCATGTGCATTCATGTCCCGTTTGCTGAGCATGCCTTGATCTGTTTTCTCATGGTTTCCGTGTGATCGCACGTCCAATGACAATCACGAGACCGTCATCGGAAGGGACGACCGCAACCCGCGTTACTGAACCACCGTTCCGTTCGCCATTGATTGGTGTGCGGACGTTGACACTGCACTGTGCCGGTCAGTGAGAGAACTGCGACTTTGTTGACGCTACGAACGTGAACAATGTCGCACCTACGCGTCACTCAAAGTTCCGTATCGGAACCTCAACATTACAACTCTCGTTGAAATATTATAATTTTTCCTTACTGATTATCTCTAGCTTAAGGAGCCTAAGTCTGCGACACTTATTAGTTTTGGGGTTTGATTTATTCGGTCGTTCCGGCTTCACGGACGCTCCAAACATGAAACTAGTCGGAAACAAAACAAACTGCACTCACCAAGCCCGTGCTAACCATCCTACTGGCCACGTTCACTGTATCCCCGAACAAGCAATAGCGCGGTGTCTTGAAGCCTACCACGCCGGCTACAATGGGTCCTGTGTTGCAGCCGACTAATAGCTGAATGCGATTTGTCGCACCTTTCGCACCAATGTGAATTTCCATCGGATCGGGCCAGCATAGTCCTTGATGCGTCATCTTAAGCATATCCAGCGCCGTTTCTGTGATGTGCGCAGCATGTAGCTGCGTACGAAGTGGTGCGCCAGATACGAACATGTAACTGTCACCAACCGTTTCCACCTGAATGAAAATAATTGATTTGATTTACATACGAAACGGGACAAGTTACTGGACTGGCTCATTAAAAAAAGGCAACTACCAAACTATTGATTTCACCTTGAATTTTGCATCCTGTTATCCACAATTAGTTTTTAGACTGGGTTTGACATTCACATCGTTTGTGGGTTTGAAAAACTTAACTTCAATAGAAAAAATATGCGACCGAATGACGAATCAGTCAGCTCTACGAAGACTCGTCAGGTGGATGTAAAGGCATTGGCCAGATTATGTTAGCCGTTTTAGACCGCTGACAACCTGAATATAGGTTCACCGACCGCCCCGGAACAATTAGCTTGTCGTGAATGTCACACAGTAGAAAGGCCAGGTTATTACCACCTCTGCTTTTGAACAGTCGATAATAAATCCGTAAACCATGGACTGGTAACTGTTACAACCACCATTAAGGCTGTGCCAAGTGAAGAACAGCTGTCAAACTTTTACTTGAGGTTTATTACTATGATTGAAGTCAGTGTATGCTGAGAAATAGAGGAGAATTGTACGGTTGTTTCATCTTTTTAGTGGGATTGACCATCTCACGAAACTCAAGAGACTTTCGAACACACAACCTCCCGGCTAGTAGTTTGATCACCTAATCGTTCTTCTGGGAGTGACTGGTAAGTAATGTAATTAACTCGTACCTAGACAGAATACAATGCCACTCATCCTTGGCCCACGGAATCCATATCTTTCAGTCACGTGTGGACTGGACAAAAGGTTAAGTATCTAACTACTTGCCGAGTTTAGGGCTGGAAACTCTCTGAAATTTCGCGAGATCCGTAATGTTGATGATTCCTAAAATGGATGAAATACCTGCACAGTGATCCTCGGTTTTCCAGCATAGGTATTAAGGAGCGCAACTTCTATTTAAAAAAGTCCCAGATCTTCTGGCACAATCTCAACATTCTCTAGCTGCTCGCATGCTAGATGCCCCAAGTCTGAATTCCAGCAGTTCGCTACTTTTCAGTGCTGCATCAGGACGGAAGGAGAAATGTTTGAGTGGTCGTGATGTGAACACCTTCTAGACGTCTCACAAATGCTCACAAGCGATCAAACATAAGTGTCTACGGGTTTCAAGCCTCCGCACAGTTACCTCACCGGGAGTAGTCGTGCAGTGCGCCATGGCTGTCATCCACGTCAACCACGTCTTTCCATGTTTACTTTTCATGTTAGAGGTTTTGGATTCAATAGCGGAGAATCTCATGAAAGAAATACAAGGAGTCCGTTTCGGGGAAACATGTAGTCAAGTTCTTCCTTCTGGCTTTTAATCACCGTATTACCCGTGGCAGAGCACGATTAGGGTTTTTCAGACAAAGGTAATGCGGATGCGTACTCAAACATGGTCAGAATATAAAAAAACTGACTCTTAAGTTAAATAAACCAAACCAGTTTGGTCGTTGGTCTAATCGGCACTTATAGGTCCAACTGGTGGCTAATAATTGCATCGTCCATTTTCATTAACGTTGATTAAACTGACCTGAACAAAACAACAAGTGGCCAGACGAAGATTTACATTGTTCAACAATGGTCACCAAATATGTTCAGCGGATTGAAACTGTGAACCTGTTGCAATGATGTCTATGCCATCGGTTCTAACAAACTCGGAAGGTCTACGAAAACTCAACTGCTTGGATTTTAACCACAACTGTATCGTTGCCTGAATTTTGACTACTTAGAACGATATGCAACATGACATCACCTGTCTGTGGTTGGGAACATCTTTGAAACCTGGAAACAAAAATGTCATTATATCCTTAGTAAGTTTACGGTTGTTGCATACCCGCAGAAACAGATATATGGTTCTACACCGCTGGCGGTTTACGATGCAAATGGGCTTGAGGTCTTTGAGCTTGAACCACTAAAAACAGCTCGACACGTAATTAGGTGTGTTTTGAAAAGGGAATAGTACGACATTCAATCAGTAGCCCTTTGTTCATGGACTGGAACCTGTGGAAGGATTTCTCAGGGATTTCGCTTATTCTTCCAGTCAGTGAGACCGGAGAATTGTCACGAAGGTTACATTCAAACGTAAAATACAGAATAGCGTGAAAACAGAAAATTGCTTGTGACAAGAACATATCCTTGTAAACCTAACCTAGTCTACAATAGAAAAGGCTACTAGCAAATCAACAGTATGTACAGGGGCTAGGAGGATTCACACATTCATCTGTAATAATTGACTACACTACACAATGTTTGTCCAATAATTCAGCTGAAACGGTCTTCAGGCATTCCTTGTTTCGATACTGCTCATAAATAGCATCATACCAAGGAGTTTACAGCTGGGTTCCGCCTTGTCTATATCACTAAGTGTGCAAAACCATTTCACAAAAACAGTTAGTGATTATGAACTAACGGCCACCATGTAAACATTAAATAACTCTTAGGCTGTCGGCCTTTCTGACTAGATCTGACAGATGTCATCGTTTAAATGTTATTCGTCCATCACACTTATGAAACTTGTTTAAAACCAGCCGTTATTCTTATTATGTGATCACCCAGCCGCTAGGGAATTGGATTGGATTTGAGAAAAGTATCTAACCTATTGGTCACTCACCTTGTAAACCTTATGGACTTCAGAAATAGCGTCAAACAGCGTGTACATTTGGTTCAGCATGCGAATGACTCCTTCAACACTGGTTTGTGTGCATCTGGTCGCGAAATCAACCACTTTGGTGAAACAGATACTCACTGATTCGAAGCTCTGTTTAAAACAGCGATGCACAAAGTTGAGTAATGAAATGGAGTAAAACAACACCTTGTTGGTCAATCACTTCGATGCCATGAAGTCAACTGCGTACACTTCTAGGTAGTGGGTGCAGGTAACCCTCTGAAGAGCTTCTCTATCTGCGTAAGAATTGTTACATTCTTCGTGTGTGCTTTTATTACTATTTTGAGGGATTTGCCACACTCGGGTTAAGTCCAAGTGATGACCAGCACGAGGTCTTGATCTGGCCTGACAGAATTTGGCCTCACTTAAGTGAGTATTAGTGGCCGTAATACGCTATCTAGGTGAACGACTCTTATCAATCAGTATTTGCCCAATTACACGGCATGTATATGATCAGGGCAGCGGCAATGCACCAAAAAAACGACAAGTATGCGATTAGAAGTAATATACTCCATGAAGAGCTGAACCCAAATGTGATCAACAAAGGAAGTGTGACCTTGGGGTCACCAAGTGACACTTATGGTGTCATTCAAGTCCAGCTAACTATATTATTGGCATTGCGACATGTGTCATAGTAATGTAACAATGCTAGTGTCCTTAGCAAGTCCAACGACTAAAACCGAGACCAGTGAAGCTTCATAGCACACTTGTGTTACCCATGATCATGTAGACTCGCTGATAGCCGTCCTTTCTGTAGCGGATCTCAGTCACAGTAGGCAAACTGATTTTGAATGAGAATCCCCGGTAGATGACAAGAACTTGAGATATGCCCACCATTAATCGATCTCTGATGAGATAAAAAGAGTTGGAGCCATTAGGAAAACAAATAGCCCCAAGGATCCCGAGCTTCATGTGATAGTTTGAAACAACTAATTTTCTCACATTGATAGGGGAGTAGATCTGTCCAATAACACCGTATTTTCTCCACCAACCATGTTTCTCGGAATCCAGCATTCAATCTAGTATATCAGTATATCCCTAGACTAAACTGTAGTTGAATATGCTGACTATCAATCAAACTGACATCTGGGGAGCATCATAGAGAGAGGAATTCACTTCAGATCAGCACAATCTGCCTTGCTCACATAAATTGACCAAACAAATAAGTTTTAGATGAATACAACGACAATTTCGACAAATATATTTATCAACTAAATAGACTACATCCCACATTTCAGCACCTCTTTTACTATTGCAAGAGTGACACAGCGTTCCACCATATAACTAAATTTGGCCATTATACACTATACAAGACGTCATTTAAACTGCTACGCCACTAGCCTGCCACAGTAGTCACTGATGTTGGTAATGACTGGGCTGTGGATACGTATTTCGTCGACAAATGCTCTGTCTTGATATTATCAAATTTAGACATTCAAATGTAACCGTCACCATGGTTTGGTCTTAAATGTTGTTCAGATAATGAGCGAAAGTATGAATTTGACAGAAGTGCACAACCGTCAGGTAAAGTATCTGAGGATAGTTTGCCGATCTGCAAAGTCTACTAAAGTGTTGCTGCCAAACACTATCCCTAAATCGAGACTACCAAATGGCGAACACATTTCAAAGAGGGGTAGCATACTCCTTTCTCCCACCGTGCAAGTTTCTATGGTTAACTGAAGCCGTACCAGTATGCATACATAAATATATATAGGACAGGTGGGAGAATTCCAAAAAATATCCCACGTAGAAGTAGGCTACAAATAATGCCTGTGGTCTGACGTAGAGAGACGTACACAGAGACAAACGAAAAGTTTGACTAACCTTGATGGTTTCAAGTGGTGGCGTTCCATCACGCAGCCTCCGTGCAACAGCCCTTGGAATGCATTGGTAGAGTAATTCGTCTGTGAGTTTTCTGATTCTTTTAAGGCGCTTCATGCTTTTCTCAAGTTGTTTGCTAGCCTCGAATTGCTGTGATTGCATGATTGATAAAAGGTAAGACCCGGGATGATTGCGAAGTCGTGGAATTGAAACCATAAAATTAGAAATGTCTATGAGTCCCGTTTGAACAGTCAGTACCATGATACTTGATACAGCTTCTAGGATTACAATAATTCCGTACTAATTCGATCGCTAGTAATGCTGGTGATAGTACCAGTGATAGCCAGTTCGTTGACGGAATTTCACTGTCGCTTACGCACACCATTGTTGACAGTGTTCCGTTTCATCAAATGCATCCTCCACATATTGACGTTCTGGCGGGCATGTCAAATTTATCGTGCCATCGATAGAACCACCGGAAAATGAACATATATTTTGTTGACTAACATTCTTCAGGGTTATGCCCCATGAGTGTGTTTAAGTGTCACAGTAGTAACGGAATGAAGGCTGACTACTTACTTAACCTTCCTGTAGAAAATGAAATTAGCGAGCCGGAAACCTCGTACTACAAGATGCAAAAATGTTTCTAACCAAAATGTGCCCTCGAGAGCAACTGAAAAATTCCTAGTTCATCTATGAATATTATCCCAAGCAGTGGAAGCATGTATACTATGGCTAAAAAACTGCTAAACGAAACAGAAACGCTACACTTCTAGCTACCGGATCCTGTGGTTTTGGGAGCAGATCCAAATACCCTGGGATCGCGGCCGTTGAACCAACAGGTGCGGCGATGTTGCGTTGCACAAAAGTTTTACCGTCGTGGACGAAATCCTACATCCAACTGTGAGACTATATTCTTCATATCTGTTGACCGGTACCGCCTATAAATAACTCACATAAAGAAGGATGTTCCAGACTTGTACCTCCGGCGGAGCGCATTTAGGTGCCAAATGTCACCCTTCAGATTTGACCAAGATGATCAAAACTGAGTTCAGTGGATATGTCTGGCATTAATATAACTAGTAGGCGAGTGCGACACCGTGAATTTTCTTCACTTGATGTAAGGTGTATTTCTTGTTCAGTGCCCCTAACTCGGACAGCGAATTCGGTGTGTGCTGTTTGGGGTTATAACAACATATCGAAATCGACGGCTTCAGCCTAATTGCTTGAGTACAGTAAGGAGCAGGTATTTTGGGTCAGAAGGCGATTATGGCAATTCTCAAGTGACTAAGTCCGACAGTACCGGCTGCTATTTTGGCTCACCTCCGTGACAGTTTTGAACGATCGTCTCCTCTAAATCTGCATTTGTTAGACGTTCCATAAATTTCGTACCAAACTAATACAAGCCTACAACGGTGAAACCGCCCTTTTTTTAAATACGTGCGTAACCTGGCAACAGAAGCGACAAACGCAAAATAGACACACCTTTTTCAACATGTTCATGACATCTTCTGACCGTTGATCACCGGCCAATATGATTTCACGATTCTGATCGAAGAGATTCAAATCACTTATGTACATTCCGCATTCATTCAGCTTTTTCACGTCACTGAGCCTAGAACAAGATGGAGTGATGCAGTAAGGTTTGTGGCTTGCTCTACAGTATACCTCAAAGTATGCACTTCCAAATTCTTCCTATAATGTGCTTACACAGTGCAAGCTAAGCCCTGGAACTGCACCGCATATCTAAAAACGAAGAGGATCGGGATATTGCAACTCGATTCTATAGGCCGTCGCTCTACGAAGGCGACTAGTGAAAGTGATGCCAGTCTCATTCCTTGTTTATGCTACTATGCTGGCCAAAACTGAGTAAAAAAAGACATCATAGAATAAATTTTTACCTGATATCTACCTACAGTGTTTCGCCCCAGGTATGTTCAAGAAGATGCTAAAGTACCAGATGCTATCGTTGATGAGCCGAAAGGAAGTGAAACGATCATTAGGCTATTCAGGAGTTTTACTAACCATATTGGATGATGTTGTGTCAAATAAGGATGAAATAATTCTCATGGTACATCCGGCATCATCCATCTTCACATTCAAAACTGGATGAAGTTTGCATCAGTCCGCTCTCCGGATTATACTGCATTATTCGCTGAGGAAGTCGATTGACAAAATTTTGATGTTATCCGTACAGTCAGCCTGTGGACCATGATGTTGAGAAGAGCCTCAGAGTTTAGACCGGTGACGCTCACATTTGAAACGTGACAGGGCTTTCCTAGGTGAATTTGATTTCTACAAGGGTGGGCTTTGATTTCTTCGTCATATTAGGGGGAGTACAGTGTTGTAGATGCTTGTTTTACCGTTTCTGTCATTGCGTCATTCATCACTATTCATCCTATACATCTGAGGACTCAAACAGCAACTGACATTCTCTTGGTACACGAGTACACTCCGGGTGGTGAAACGCTAGTTCCTGAGGTCTTTATAAGCGCTTCCTTTATTTCCTCCCAAAAGCATGTAAGGAATTCTGAAGTTGGAAGACTGACAGATTATGGACTAGAACAGTTAGGTCCAGGTTGTTATTCAACATCGAAAGTACCTCAGCTACTGAGGATTTTTTGAACGAAAAGTAAAATTCCCACCTGGATTGCTTTCGGCACTAATGCCCAACACAGTGAGACTTACACAGGTGATCCAATAAATGCCATCATATCCACTTCTTCGATATACAACATCTGACCTTTGAATTTGTATGACTTTTGAGAGGGAGTCTTCTTTCGGCGTTCATTTTCTGCAAGGTGGGTATAAACAACTTGGCAAGTGGATGGGAAACGGTGGATAGGTATTGCATTCGGTAGTAGTCATATCGGGAGCACTAATACTGAAAAATCGTGAAGCTACAACGGCCAACGTCATACAGTGGATAGTTCCTTCGGAATCCTTGGGATTGTTTTAAATATGTTCTGCCTATCTGCTTGTTAACTAATAAACATGCAGTGGTTCTCCTTAATCAGTCGGCCGTTAACTGACTGACATGTCTAAGTACTCGCTACACCTGAACTATCATCACTGTGTTATTACGGCTAATTGGTGATGTCAGAACTAACTGAGTGCAATGTTACGTAGTGTGAAAATGCCACTAAAAACAACTCATTTAGCTAGGATTTCCGGAACTCTTCTTATGGTCTCTTTTTACCGAATCTCCGGACCAACAAAAATGGATCTCGAAGCTAAGTGCGCTGGACGATATTTCCGCAATAATATCAATAGAATGGGCACACAGAAAACTGTCAGCTCATTTGACTTTGACGTAATCTTTACTCTTGAACTGGAACAGAAAGGACAGTTAGGGTTCCTCGATGATCCGATTCAAAGTTCATAGGGTGCAAAATTATAGAAAGCAAATCTGGACAGTTTGAATACCTTAGATACTCTGCAACAGAAGCGTAACCTAGTTAGATGTTTGACTCCGAAGGCCATGGGAGTATGTTAATCGGAGTTTTCGTAGGAACAGCTTTATTTTCAGAATACATATTTTCGCAGAGCGGATATCCTAAATGGTTTGTACACAGGACTGTGCTACGCTCGATATTTATCTGCGTATCTTGGTGGCCTGTTTATTTTCCTTCTGTGCTCACTGCTTCTGGTATGAAGTTCCTTGGACGTCCATCCTACATAGACCTTAGCGAAGTCATTACATTTAATTTTTCAGACAGTATCTGATTCTTTTCTCCGGAAGGTGCTCCTTCCGTTGCATTAGTGCAGAGTGCAGAGTGTTTCCATCCTGGAAAGCTACTCTTGCATTAGCCCCCTATGTCTCTGGTTTAACTGGAATAACAGAAGTCCCAATCCGTTCCCTGATGGTTTACGTCACAGGCACCGACACACTTTGCAACTGATGTCTAGTCAAGCTATACGCATATTCACTGCATCTAAATTTGTTCTTTGGTTCATTTTGGGCCGCTATATAATCAGCTCTTTCTGTGCACAGGGCGCTCACACTGTGATGAGCCAATCCTAGCGAATACCGACTTTGGGTGGGCAGACGAATTTGCCCGTGTCAGTTGCCTTCTCGTACACTATAGTCTTCAGTGTTGGTGTGCGGTTATCAGAAGGGGGATTCATCATCTGCATTGCGCTTAACCTCGCCCACCTACCCTCCCACCAACCAAATTGTCGTAACACTCACAAGCCCACAAAGACCAACTAAATCTACCAGTGGCACCCTGGTCAGTCATCAATTAGAGCACCTCAAGGTGGATGATTAATTAACCGAGCCCGACTGGAACCAAGTTGAAACTCATCAACTCATCAGTGCAAGATTTAGGCAACCGCACCAACCGACAAGAACGCTTAATTGACATTCAACAATGATCTTTGCGCTAATCTGAAGAAGACTTACTGATTGGTTCTCCGTCTGCCCTAAGACCTGGCCAACTTGGTGACCTGCTCACTTGGCCTGATGATACTACTGTGACGAAAGCTACCAAATGTTTACCAAGTCCTTCTGAAGCTATTTCAAGTAATTCCGTATTTCTTTCTCGCTGCGCCTGATTAAGAAGTCACGAATCACATATTTTTCGATCTTCACATTTTCTTGCCAATCTTGCGGAGTTATTGAACCCTCCGAAGCTCAGACAATGCATATCCGCATATTGGACTTTGGTTTCGCTTACAATCTAGTGCCTATGGTGACTGCACGTTCAAGAGACTTTTCCAGTCACCTTTAATAAATATTTCCATATTTGCTATTATGGAGGTTTTCTGACAGTTACTGCGCCTCTTGGGGCCGTATTTCAGTATGCATACTACATGGTGATAACCTTAGTATGGGTAATAGTTCGCCCTCACAGTGGTCTGGTTTGTTACCACCAGCCCAACCTACACCGGTCTGATGTGGTTCGTCACTGATGCCTCTGATTTGTGTTACCGGTTTACCGCTAAGAATTCTCACTTCCACTCGTCTTACCTCAGCTACATAAGGACCTTGTTTTGCATCACGGATGATATGGAATACTTGGATCGTGTCCAAGCACAAAAATAACACATTCTACGGTCATCGTCATTTCCGTACAACCCCAAGAGATAGAGCTCGGTGGGGATATCTCAGTCCGGATATGCATGTGAACGCACACTCGTAAGTCGCTCAAATTCGCTGTCAAGGTATTTTTAGTATGGGGTGCTAACTCGGCCTATCAAACTGCACCTAGTTGTGTATCACCCGTAAAATCACAAACGCGCTCAAAGAATTCATCTACCAGCCATGCTTCATGGGGGAGACTATAGCTCGAGATGGACGTGGATAACGAAGAACATTACTTCGTATCTTTTTCAGCAATGTAATTTTGGCCAAAATGACTGGAAGTGGTAGGTTGTTAGTGCCATAAACCTCCTCAAATCAAGTGGCAATACTCATTAGAACTGAGCGTAAATTTACCTCATAGTGTGTTTAACATCTTGGAACACATGGGAAAATGTATGCGTGTTTCTAGAAATACACTCATTTGCAAATCAATTTGGTTTTCACGAGAAACGCAGTTGAATTTATCGTTTATGATATTCTACAACTGTAGTAACGGTATTTTCCTCAGCTTAGTTCTCGGTCTGAGCCTCCCAAGCTAGTGTTCACGTCAAAACAACCACCAAAGGTGCACAAGTTCTATTAACGCCCAAAACGAAGTTGCACAGCGCTTCTTATATATAGCGTAAGCGGTTATAACTTTCTGGAATTCTGACTCGTTTCTGGATGCGCCATTGGCAACCGGCATTTGGCCAATACTGGGTCATGATTGGCTTTTGGGTCCAGATTGTTGACCAATCCGATCTCGTCTTGATGCCGGGCCGGCAAGCGTCCCGAATTCTGGGACAACTTCGAGCGGGCCAGGCTTCTCGGCCGTAGCAGCACCTAAAGACATGCGGTATAGTGGGATCCGCGTGGATTCCTGCCTAACAACAACTGAAAGTGATACACACAGGCCGCCTCATGTTTCATTTGGCACGATATTCGAGATATCGCAGTATATTTTCATAAAGGAAACTATTCACAAGGTTGCCGAAAACGCATCGTAAACGCGTCATAAACGAGAGATTTAGTTGAGTCTCTCGTGAAAACCAAATTGATTTGCAAATGAGTGTATTTCTAGAAAACTGCAATTTGGGTCCAGTCAGATCATAAGGTTGGCAGAAACTCGGGGACTGCGCTCACCTGATGAGCCCCAAGAAGGGCGAAACAGGTCGTGGGCTGTCGAAGGGTTTTCAGCAACCTTGTGAGTAGTTTCCTTTATGAAAAGTATGGGTGTTTCTATTTTATAGTATAGAGCATAAGCCCCTTCCAGCCTTAGATTATATGCGTCGGCTGCGTTCAGGAGAGACTTTTCTGAGAGAAGCCACTTCCTAGGAATGTTTCAAATGACATTCTCGTTAGCCGTTATATTCCATGAAATCCGGCTAAAAGGATCTCTTCCAGTGTAGGCCAGCGTGTTTTTTGTGGCATCCTGTCGCTAAGGTATGACGGGTTATTATGGTGTTTCGATGATCGTCGATGAAATGATATATCAAAATGAAGAACGAAACTTACTTCGTATGCATGTGTCAGCTGCTAGCACTAGTTCAAATGTATTGTGAATGTGGTTTTTTATCTGGAAAATTAGAATGTTATGCATTTGTTATCCTTGTCAGGTCTCTTTGAGAAAGGGCTTAAAACAAACGATACATAAAGCTAAAAGAATGCGCAATACCAAATGAATTACCGCTGGTTTCGTAGTACACAAATCGAATTAGTGCATCACGCGTGAATAAAAGTTTTCCCTCTGTTCTCTGCTCCAGTGTGAGATAGTTTATTTACAGTTTTGAAGCTGACAAGGTAGCTGATTTTCAGACCTCAAATCAGAATAGGCCTCTTCTCAAATCGAAGTTTAAGTTGAACTTGTGAAGTATTCAAGTTCAAGAATTCAGGTTTACTTTGCGTTGTCATCTTAACCATAATTTTGGCAGCCGAGAGGAATCATATATTGTAGTCCGTCCTGGTAGCCTGTTCCTTCTTATGGGGCGATCATGTGTTATTGTTATTTTGATCCTTCAGTGGTGAGTTCCGAGGTCCAAAGGCCATCGCCGCGCTTCACATCTTTTCCGTGCTGCTCTCAACAGGATTTTACTTTCAGTTGTGTAGCCACATGGACATGGTTCCACACATCAATATGGACAGGTTGTGGGAGTTTTTCAAAAGTTTCTGGTAGTAATCACGTGCGGAATAAGACATCATTTGGATTTAGCAGAATCAGTTATTATTCCAGTTTTGTGCACTACTAAGAAAGATAGGGAATCCTAGAACCGATCGCTTCATTGCTCATGTGCATTCCGTTTTTCTGTTTAAATCATCGCAAACAAAATCCGAGGTTGGAATATTATTAGGTGCTTTGCTTACAAGCTTAACAGAGAAACGTTTGCAGCTCGTTGCCTATTAATTCACCGATTGTCTTCCTCATTGTGAGTGCCAAGTACCTCTTAGTTTTCAAGGCAAACATGATTTTGAAGAAGACTACTACAAGCCATAAGATATTGGCTTAACTTTCCGTTTTCCGATTAGAAGTCATATATTCCGGTTGCGCCAAGGAATGTGACCTGGATGTCAGAAGTTGTCGGAAAAGCCATCCTAGTGACAGCGAATTCCCGTTACCAGAAGTAGCAGCATATAATTAGGAATCACAAGAAAAACCTGAACAGATTGTTAGATTTTCAATCAAGTGAACCACCTGTTTCTACTTCTCATATGAGAGAGCCACCGTGCAAACATCAAGCCTTATAATTGGTAACATCATCAGCATGCGGTCTGGAAGTCAACTCCTTCAAAGCCCAGTTGAGCTGCTTAGCACCGATCATGAGTTTACGCGTCAAGCCAAAAACATCGAATTGTCATTCTGTTAAAGAAGTGCAGCCCGAGCTAAATCTTTACTTAATGGTTTTCTTCTAATGAATGCACTGTACACAGGCTTCTTTAGGTTACAGAATGCTCGGTTTCCCAGATATCGCAGTATATCTTCTTGACGGAACACTAGCCATCAGTTCGGTGAAAAATTTCCGACATCCTACTATCAGTTTTGCCTTTCATGGTGCTTCCATGAAAGCTCAGTTTTCGCAGAGTAGATCACTCATTGGGAGATATAATAAATTGGAGAATTATCACGATAACTAAATCAGTTCCCAAACAGATGTATTTTGTGAACTGTGTACATTTCGGATTCAAGTAGATCGCAGATTTGACGGAAACTCGAGGACTGTCTAATTAATAAACCAGAAGATCATAATCGTTTCCATACTGTCGAAAAATTTAAGTTAACTTATGCACAGTATTTCTTCAGGAGAATATTCCTATTTATTATTATTGTTATTACTAGACTTTTTACCGGGTGGTTGCCATTCAGCGACTAAGTATGCCACAGGAGTTCATTTATCCTCTTTTAAGACTCATTAGTCTCATCCATCAGAGAAAGATTATTGCTTTATAAAAGCCTGTATTGATTTATGAATGGTATGCCAGTCATGTAGCACACTAAGAACCGATGTTTTCCCGGTCAGTGAATTGCACTTTCAGTAATCATGACGACCGATGAAGAGCTAGTGCGACCGTCCGATCCTGGTTTCATCCTACTCTAAACGAGAGAAGAGTACTAGTCTCACTATCAACATACAGGCTCAATGAAATTTCAACTTGGATATACCTGCCGTTAAGTTAGATCTTCTTCAAACAGCAGTCTTTGTTTTTTTTTAAAGACTCAATGCACATCAAAATGCATATCCTCTCAAACCCATAAAAATGGGTGCGCGAAAACTGGATCAACCTCTCCTGAGCATTCCAATTTCTCTCGATTTTCTCAAGTTCCTTTATTTCCATGCTTACATTGTTGTAGTTCTTGAACGATGTTTCAACATGTACCATCCTTAATAATTTAACTTTTCTCCTTTTTTCGGTATTGTTTAGGCAACTGATTATATGGACGTCAGTCATTGCTTGGCACGTACATGTTTGTCTGTGGGATTGTCAACAAGCCTGAAGTTTTGCGTATTTGATTTTCAAACCAGTGTACTTTCATCAGCATCAAGTAGCAACAGTCTGTCGTGCCTCACAACCGACGCCACTGGATAACTTACTGAGTCTGCCATGAAATGGGGTTGAAAAGTTCGCACAGAACGGGGTGGCTTTGATAGCATTTCAACCAATTCAACTTTACTCTATGCGCAGTCATATAGCCGAATATCACGATATCACTGACAACCGTATCCCGATTGACTTGAGACTAAGAAAGCAGCTGAAAAGATATTATTATTAGTTAACATTGAAACATGTAAAATGAGATAAAAATCAGCATGTTATGGTAAAACGGTTCGATGGCCGGCAATGTCGCATTAGGTCACTCAGACAGCCATGCCAGACAAAGAATATAACAAACGCTGAATCACTCCATTAAGTAGTTATAAAAAACCTGCAAAAATGGACACTCAATGACTCTGGTAAGTTGGCAGCAGCGGAATGACGAGGGAGGTCTGTCTAATTGGGTGACAGCAAATGGAGGCTGGTGGAGTTGCAGTATTTCAAGCCCTTGGCGAGTAAACTGTTTAGTAAACCGTATTCGAAGCCTAGGTTTGTCGAGTGGGTAAGAAGAACCGAAAGCATTCATCTGGGTAGGCGCATTTAGTGTATCCTGAATTCTTAGACAACAGGATCCAAGCATTCAAAAGATGGGGCAACTTAGCGAAATACCCTCGTCAGCATTCTAATACTGTTTTAACAGAAGACTCAGCTAGAACCCAGCTGAATCTCTCGCCATGTCGCTTCAGGTTTCATTTGGTACGATGTTTGGTTGTGGGCTACCGAGGAGTTTTCAGGAATCTCATGAGTAGTGCGTTACGTCCATAGAATGTAGTGCGATATCTAGAATATCGTACCAACTGAAAGATGTAACAGCATGGTGCAGCAAATGCAGTTGCTTGAGAACATCATACACGAGAGTGTCAGCCGGGTTCCAGGTGAGTTTCCAGTCAAAACAAATCTGGTATGCAAATGAATATATTTCGTTAGTTCCATGCAATTTGGAACATAAACTTGACGGAAACTTGAGACTGCTCCTACCTGGTGAGCCCCGAGAATGGCCAAATCTATAGTGGCCTATCGAAGAGCTTTGAGCGATTTTAGGGGTAGTGTATTATGTAAACAAAATCTGTTCGGCAGGTTTTAATCACTCTCTCCATTCTACTTAAGGGAACGTTGAGATGTCATGTTATTACTGTCAATTGAACGTATCTCCAAGGATTATGTGTATAGGTCTATCGTGCAAACAAGCTATTTCTAGCCTATGCTTGGTAGTATAAACAGTCCCTCTTTACAAGATGAGATTGAAAAAAATTCCCCTTAGAGCTGGAAATCCCTGTGTGATTGATACTTTAATAACAGCTAGCGTGCAGGCAATACTTGCGATACTTTTTGCCGGTACAACGACCCGTGAACCTGGCTTGGCTTTAATCAGGTGGATCCACGAGACCGCAGCACCACTTTGCAGCAGTCTTCAGGAAAAGCCTAGCTGGAGAGTTCTGATTAGTCGTAGACAGATTTACTGCTGAACGAAGTGCCCAGTTAAGTGTCAGAAAATTGACTAAGTTCTCCTTTCATCTCTATCTTGTGGAATGTTTGCTTAAGGTTTTTGACAAGTCTTTGTGTCTGATCCTTGGACTGGGGATCGTACATCGATCATTCCTTCAATATACTTGGTGGAGTAGTCGTAACGCGTTCGCCTCGTATGTTCGAACCCTAGCATAGCCAAGGACATGCATCGCTTAAGAGCCCCAATAAGAGAGAAACATGCGTTCAGCAATTCTTCTCTCTTGAAGGGACTCACCAGAATGCCTCAATATGTTGAACTTTTGTTCGATCAGTGGACAGATGTAGACGATTAATGCTTAAATGTGGTACTGTAAAAAGGGAAGTTACTTTGGTGAATGCATAAGTAATACATGCAACTACAGACCGACTGACATCACTCGAAAAAAATTTTGAACATCACCTGCGTAAAAACTGCATCGATCTTCGGCCTGTCTAGCTGGAATACATCAAACAACTTTTTCCCCAATTTCACCTCATGAAATCGCTTGAAACCGTTGCTAACATGTTTCAATTTAAGATCCTCTGCAAACAAGACGCAAAAGTTGAACAGGTTCAAGAATTGTTCATTGGAAATATGCGTTGGAGTGTTTTCCGGAGCGTCTTTTGAAAATTGTTGATGTTTCACCCCTGGCCACGTTCCTTTTTCATTGGTGATACGGAGCGTGAACCGGTTTGAGTCCAGCTGTTTTACGTGTTCAATAAGTTCCACATTCACATCTAAATCATAGAACACGTTTGCCACTTTAGTAAGCTGACCTCTGACATAATGAGCATAGTGTTCGCGTTTGCTTGTGTACACCAAATCAACCGTTGTGTCTGTCTGACTGATCAACACGAATGCCGGGGGTTTCAATTGAGGATAGGTGTACTGCAGGTGATGATGTAAGTCATCCAACTCATTCAAGAACTCTGGAAATCCACTCCCAGTGATGCGCAACAGACGAGCGTATCCGACTTTTGAAAGATACGAAATGAAGGACTGACCCAGTTCAAAATAAACATTTTCCTCTTGCAGTCCAGTAACTTGCGCAACATATGTGACCAGTCGCGGGAGCAAAGTTTCAGAGTAGACTTGCTGAGTCTGTATTACTTTGCGTGCTCCCATCACATTTTCTGTGGCATTCAACCAGAACTCTTCTCCGAACTTTTCGGTTAGATAGTGATGAAGTCCTTCTATCAAAATTCCATACATTGTTATATTCCTTGAATGCAGCAGCAGTTGTTTGTAACTTGTAAAAATGCCACTAGCTTCAACTGTCCAGTCTCCGGAATTTTTTGAACTGGTCAGAACGTTTGACCATAGGAAACTTGAAACCTAAGCCCCTATTCAAGAGAATGAGGTATCATCCCGATTGCTCAAAACAGTGTGGGTGTTAACCTATGCAGACGATTGTTTGATAAACTTTTGCTGTCCTCAAATTTCTATTGTCTTATTTTCGAATCCCAATGTTATCCACCCAAAGTGACCCAAAACACCAGGTGTTGACCACAATGTTTCTGTCATGAACCCATCATGCATTTCACTAAACGATAGTGCCAACTTATTGTCCACCATATTTTTACTTGTCCTCTAATATTTATCCAGCAGATTTATTGTGTAATGCACTTTGCTTTGAATAACGTCATCAGGAAATGGGTTGCGCGGAACGACACTAAAAAAAATATTGAGTCTAGCCAAAAAGATGTTGCACATGGATTACAAACGGACAGGTGTCTCGTTGTCGGGAATTCTGAGCTCAGTTACTGTGTGCTGGTGAGAGTAGGAGAGCGCAACCTTGGCGGAAGTTAGCGCAATGCTACGCCAAGATATTTTTGTTGTATAGTTGTCGATTATTGGGGCCTTAGCTCAAACCAACGGAAGTGGCTACGTGCTCCTCTTAAAGAAGGCTACTTACAAGGTTGCTGAAAACTATTCGGTGGTTTTGCCCTTCTTAGGGATTATCGAGTAGATGGAATCACTGAGTTTTCTTTAACCTTGTGTTGTATTTGAACCCACATTGTGTAATCATTTGTAGATCGTCTGAATCCCTACTAAACTCGTCATTTGTGTGAATAGGGGCATTTGAAGACGTCCGGACAATTCGGATTCAAGCTTAACAAAGGTTTGCGGAGACTTGGGGACTGCGCCAACCTAATGATCCCCAAGAAGGACAAAACCGGTGTTGGGCTGTCGAACACCAACCTTGTGAGTCACCAACCTTGTGAGTCGTTCCCTTCAAGCAAATATACTAATATCTAACATCTTACCAAAAATTGATGTAGCCTTGGTGCATCACATTCAGCTGAAGATCATAGACCGGCAGTTAAGCTGGGATTCAGGTGAGTCTCCCTTGAAAACCGAAATTCTGTGCAAATGATTATGATCGATTGTTCTCTCTTTGGTTTCGACCTTTCTTTGGGACGTGTATAAGTACCAATCAGTTGTGCGTTGACCGGTGAAGCTAGATTATGACGGACCACGTCAGTGTTCACGATCCCTTCAATCTCCCCCCGTAGAATAGGTTTTGGTTCGTTTTATTTTGTTCGGTTCTTCACACGAAATCTATAGGGCAACCAAATTGTCCAAAGCACTTACTCGAGATTTCCCCTCAGTGTTAATGTTATAGCCCTTGTTTGAAGAGTTGTTGATAAGTTTGCTAAACTGTCGCAGGAAAGACCTTCGACATACATTTTTTATGATGTACCTTATGTGACGGCTGAAATAGTACGCATTTCGTTTCATCCGGCGGATGACGAATCCCACCGTGGCTCAAAATGTATGGCTATAACTAACTGTCATCCCTTAAGGTTTCCATGAGTGTCGGAAATACAAGATCGGGCTTGTCTTGAGTACACACTTCTCTGGCCCTTTAGAACAGCAGATTCACAGGCGAATGGTTACAACCTACATGTCAAGGTTAAAAATTTCAGGTAATTTTTATCAGAGCTACTGATACGTTGAAAAATGAATCCACTCAAACTGCTTAACTGGTGACAATGTACGCAAACTAAACGTGTGAGCTGGAGCATCTTTTCACGTTCAACGACGAATATATCATCCAAGTGATGAGTACGGGGTTTCCATTCGACCGGTGTTTGAAATCAACCAGAGAGTGGTATTTAAAAGAATACAAAGGGTTTTTTTGTTAGGGTCATAACAGGAACACGCGACTGTAATTTTTCAAAATCCTGGTTACATTGTTCGTCCCCCTTACAAAAGGGAAGAGTACATACCTTTCTGACTAAGCCTGAAGGTGCCAATAGGTTGCACATTCCCTTAGTGTCTTTAATGACACGTGTTCGTTACGTGGAAAGAGGAAGATCTAGATTGAAACATGGCTACATAGAGAACACAGGAACGGGTCAAATGTAAAAAAAAATTTCAATGGTTGTTTGTACAGTGGTTTGGGAAAGTTAGGAATCCAGATGTATGGTTAAAGTTAGCCTTCAGTTGACCTTCAGTTGACCTCCCAAGAGTTTCAGTTTTAGGAATGGTGAAGTTGGGAACTGTGTAAAGCGAAAAGCTTTGTCATGTGTTAGTCCCTCAAAACTACTTGTTCAGCCAAAGAGTGTTAATGTTAAAATAGGTTCTCTAGGGATAACCGAAACTTTCTTTCTACGAGCCATTAAGTTTCATCCACTATTAGTATTCGTGGTCTTAATGCAGTCTTTTTACTGATGTGACAGCACGACCGGACAAGTATATTTATGTGCTAGCCGACAATCGTAGCAGATCTAGTAAAGTGTTTTCAAGGTCCCCTTGACTCGTTACTTTCCCAAACTTTCCCTCAAGATATGGTTCACAGTTGGATAATGCATGCGGTCATAATGGAAGCGTGTTCCAGTATAGTTTCCTGATCACTGCATCCTAGAAAATTTCTAAATGTATTTGATAAAAATATCCATGAATTTCATAGAAAAGTCCTCTGGCAGCAGATCAAAGAAACTACTCATATGAGGACATCAGTCAACTTGGAAAACGATATGTTCCTGACTTACTCGTGTTGTACAGTTATGATTCCTCCTTATTGTGGACTTCAGACGAGACACGTCTGCGCTGCAGAACTAGTCCATTTGGTTGTCTCTTCAAATCGCAGCAATGAGAAGGGCATGCAGACTATTTGCGTACAATGAGCTACTCCTAAGATTGTTGAAAACTCTTTAACAATCTACTACCGGTTTCGTCTTTGTTGGGGCATCATCAGGTAGGCTCTGTCCGAGTTTTCCTTCTCAAACTCATTTTATTTGAACCCGAACTGCACAGATTATGACAAGTGCACTCATTTGCAAGTCGTTTTGTTCTCCACGGGAGAATGCATCTCTCGTCTATCACATCGTATCAACGGAAACATGAAGTGGCCTGTGTGCAGCACATTCAGTTGGGGAATATATTCTCCCGTAAAAACCAAAGTGATATGCAAATGAGTGGATTTGTGGAGAGCATACAGTTTTTATTGATCATACGAACGCGTTCAGCAGCACCAAAACTATTTGAAGAAGCTGAAACACAATATATTCCATTTGACTTAGCTTAAAATCACTTCAGCCACCCGACGCAACTTAGTAGCGTAGGTGAGAAAACATCGGCTACAAGTCTCACCAGTTGCAGTCTCAAATCAAATTTGGAGATAACTAGCGCTTGAAGCAACGGTAGGATTCCTGCACGTCTTATGTAGCAACGTATCTCTCGTATTTTTGCAAGCAGGCGACATCATGGCATACTTTATAACGCCTCAACACATACTGAAGTGCATTCTGTTCACGTCCGATGACTAGCCTTTTATTCACACAGAAAGAGGTCGTAATCATTGCGAAAACATTAGCATGTGTATGAATGTGGGCACTCCACACAATGATTACAGTATTCACTTGCCCTATTCTCTGAACTCCTCGAGAAGGGGTAAGCCCGTGCTACATCACTGAAAGGCTCCGGCTCGCCATTGAATTTTGGGGAATTTGTAGCCCTACTGTGCAGAAACGAACTAAAGCTAAGTAAAACCTAACTTCAACAGTTCCTTGAGCACCCACGGCGCAGTCCGCCCGTCTTATTAGGGTCCTCAAAATAGCCCTTAAACAGAGTGACACTTTGAGGAAACTGCTCTCCGGAACGAAAGACAAATAAAACAAACAAAGAGAAACAATGTTCATATACCAAACTTATTGAAACAAATGCAACAACTCCTACGTTGGATAAACTTGGAGGAAATTATGCACGCGAATTAAGAAGCACAATGTGGCCGTCAAGAGACACGACCCCTATCCTTCATTCCTATACACGAAGAAAAACAAGGCCACAAGTTCAATCTGGAGAACCTAAACGTTTTGGCACACGGAGACACGAGACAAGAAAGGAATTTCTGGAAGCATGAAACTCCTAGTACTCGACAAAGGTCACAGACCGGAACTTGGAGGACTCAAGCATAGAGGTCAAGCATCGACCACTCCTAGTACTCGACAAAGGTCACAGACCGGAACTTGGAGGACTCAAGCATAGAGGTCACTCCAGCATCGACCAGAGTACAAGGGCATAAGAGACCAAGCTCAAAGGTCAAGGGGTCATCGATCAGTAAGGACAGAGTAGAACAAAGTAACCGATCGAACCGTCCGGCCGAACAACGAATCATGGGCACAGGTCAGCCCCGGCCAGCCGCACGTGCATTTATACACACGCGGCGCTATTCAACGCGCAATCACCAACCCATCGCTGAGCTCGGCTCCGCTCCTAACAAAGCGCCGATTGTGTCATCTCGATTGAAGGCAAAACGTTTACAGTCAAACTGTCCAATGCAGCGAACAAACCGACGGATGACCATCTATGCTACCTGAGCTATCAACATTTTCCTCTATACCACACTTATTTCTGCTCATTTTTATAGTTTCTCAATAAGATTACTGAAAATGCAGTCTAATGCGTAAAAACAACGTTCTCATCCACTGAGTCCAATGTTTGTGCATCCTTTCTACAATAATTCTGAAGTGATCACACCAAACTAGCGTTTGCATCTAATTTGATCCAAAGATTGCTGCTTGATACCGAAGTATAGTCTCATTGGTGTGCATATACAGACAGAGTGATTTTCTACGTCACTCTTGGCCGTCGTTCTGCTGAGGCCAGTTGTTCCAGTCTCTTGTTGAAAACAACTTACTGCTCCCTAAACTAAACGAGTAAATCGAAAATCCTAGGCGATATGAATCCCCAAAACCTGGTGATGC